GGAGTATGTGGCTGACTCACCTATTGAAACTGCCGCGCCTACAGAACAGAGTTCTTCGCGCTATTGGAAATCTTCATAGGTGCACACCAGCCCGCGAATTGCACGTGGCTTTCAAAAGTCCTCACGTGTATGACTACGTAACTAACTACATAAAGACTGGCTTTTATTCTAAATCAAACAACACAATTTCGGGCACAATTAGCAGACCTTTCGTAATAACCGCATAGACTTTGAATGTGAATAATTCATACAGCAATGTTCTTTGTTATTCAAATAAATATACACTAACGGGAAACTGTGACTCTTTCTAAGTGTGACTTATTCGTAAGTAATTAAACGTACACACTTCACATTCTCAACTCGATTCCGTTGCTCAGCTGCTATCCAATCCCGTTTATGCGCTCTGAGAACTCATGCTTACCGATTGGCTAGACGGAAACCTCCAAACCTAGTCCCCTAAGGATAACTGAGTTAAAGAGGTAACGGTTACAATAGCCACAAGAAAGGTAGGTCAGGAAACTACACGTAGTTGGAAAAACTATATAACTGAAAAAGAATATTACCTACAATGCAGAAAAATGCATATTTCTAAAATAATAAGATATTTAAATATGACAGACTCAATTTGACTTTAAACAAGGGATCAAATATTTCGAGAGTTTCAAAAAATTGTGGACTAATGAGTGTGAACGGAATAAGTACAAATAAAAGTTTGAAAATATATGGATATATCACCAGAAGTTAAATTTTAGAATTTTTAAAAATAGTGTCACATGTATTAGTGACTATAGACGGGGTTTGGATTGGTGAATAGATTTATTAACCACTTACAGTTCGTACCTACAAATAAGTACAACATTATTGCTGATTTCCATACTACAAATCACTCCAAACTCAAATGTTCTCACTCTATTTTCACTAGTCTTTAATTGGTAACAGCTCTCCGCAATGGCTATTCCTCTGCAGTGTCTTCACCGGACGTTTCCTGGTAACGAATCTTAGCACTGGAGATTCTTCCGCTTCCGTTATCCGCTGGTTAACGCTCCACAGCTAAACATTCAACTGCGCTGCAGCGCCAATTGTCTTCATGATAAATATTCGGTACGGACCACGCAGAAAACACTGTCTTCTGTTGTCAAGCATGCGTGTTTATTGACCCGTTATGTATTAGAATAATTATATTATTAAAGGTAAGAAAGGTAAAGTTGTCCCAGTGCTTAATTAATTAGGCACTACTCCATGAAGGCGTATGGGGGTTAGTGGTTGTATAGATCACATTTTTTCACCTCGACATTGGCTGGAGGAGAGTGGTTAGATTCACGCCCCTGCCGCTTTACCCCCGGGGAAAGAGCCCCGGGTACCCAGTGGAGAGGAGGTTGTGTGGGCCCAGAGCCGGTCTGGACAACGTGGAGAAGAGAAACTTCTTGACACCACCGGGAATCGAACTCCGACCCGTCGGTCATCCAGCTCGTAGCCAGTTGCTATACAGACTGAAATATCCTCCATCAACAGGGATTTTAACTAATCACCGTAATTACGAAAACAAAAATACCAGGTGACGAGGAATTGAGCTTTCATAACGAAGGAACACAAAGACTCCTCCATGGCATTGCGTGATAAATATTCTGGGTCACAGTCACCGTTCATTTCGATAATTTAAAGAATTACATAATTTGACACGAAAATAAAAAGGTCGGTGCGAATACTTTCCCGTATACGGTTGACCTGAGGTACGTTACCTTGGAAACGAAATCGATTTTTGCTCGGTAGAGCAATGTCGGTTTCTGAATGCCGAAAAATAACAAAAATCCGACCGACTAGTAAGGCAGGTTTCGAGAAAATTTCGAATTTGGATTCCTAGTGAACGTGGCGAGGATGCCACCCGTACGATTTTATTTAAGGAGATACTAACCGTGTATTACTGAAATTTGACCAAAATCGTTAGGTCGTTTCAGAGAAAATCTCCATTTTCTGCCTGTATGCCCATCTGAAGGGAGTCTATTTTGGAGCTGGAAAGTCTATGTTCCTCGGACACCGACATAGGACGGACAAGCTCTTTTATACTGAATAAGAACAAAATCCGTCGAACCACTCAACCGTCAGAAAGCTTTATATCTATACATCCATACACACAGACAGACGGCGTTTCAATTGTCGCTTTGTTGTTATCAGGAGGTGCAAAACATGAAAATTCGTCATATTCTCGATATCGACTTTCGTCTACTTTCCTTATTAAAACATAAAAGTAGGACTATGCGATCTTCATGCTGTGTGTGTGAATCCCCCCCCCTTTTTCCTATTAACTTTTGAATGCCTGAACCAGTCTTTATGAAACTTGATATGTATATCATGGCACCTGATTCCATCTCAAAGGTGTACTTCATAAATCCCCTCCCATCAGTCTGTTGTGTGTACGTGTATCCCTCCTTTCATTGCTAGCCAACGGCTCCGTAAACACGTTCCCGCGAGAAGGAACACAAGCAAAAATAGAATTGTTGGGCGCGTGCGTTTGTGAATATATCTGTTTATCCCCCGATATTTGCTAGGTTACAACTTGGTAAAAAAAACAGCAAAGAAGAATTGTTAGAAGCGTTGTTTTCTGTGCGGCCCGTGTTGTATGAAAAGAAAGTAGGCGATTTTCCAGAATTTCTTTTTCCATCATCACCGTACTTTCTCATATGTACTAAGATGTGAGACCTTGAAACGAGAGTTTAGCTAAGAGTCTACTAGAATGCAACATCGGATACTTCCAAGACTTAGGTTGCACCGTTAGGAAGACGAAACTGCTTGCCCATTCTTTTCAAGCTACACGTAAGAGCACTCCCCTTAATACAATAGCATGGAAAGGGCATGCATACATATTTGAGCGAGGGCCTTATTCACACGTCTGCCAACACTGTCTCTTGTTTACTGAAGTGCTAAGGGAAAATATAAATCCTGTATCTGACCTAGCAACTCGTACACATGTACACATACATCCACAAGCTTCTACTACACTAAAAATATCATTAAACAAATTCATTATTAATGTAACTAAAAAATTCAGCACCACTAGCATCAAATTCAACCATCCTAAGTTACTTTCTTCCGCCCCCAGTCCTCACAATCTGTCTTATTAAGGTCCATATCAAGGTCATAATATTTCCTTCTTTGTATCGTAAGCAACTGCGCTCCAAGCCGTTTCCTCTCCGAAGTTTTGTGAACATTTTTACTTCTCCTCACTCGAGGTACAGGCCAAAATAATTGCAAACTCCTTAATTTAACTCTTCTATCTCTTTTAAAACTAAATACGCCCACTCTCCCAAAATTCCCGTTCACTTCAGACCTCACGTCCAAATTATTTCAAAATTCATTTCCAAAACTACCAAATTGCTCCAGAATGTATCGTCTCCCCATTTTCATCTACTTGCAAATGTTACGGCAGGGATCAAACTGATTCAAAATTTCAGATGTATTGAGCGGCATTTTAAGTCTTTAGCGCAAGACTTTTTATATATAATTATACGTATATTATTTTCAATCTGTTATCATTATCGTCATTTGGGCCCAATAGTCTTTCCGTTCCCATTAATATTTCATTTAGCCAGTCCACCTTTCATATGCGTTTCTTCTTTTACTACAGTTAGAACTTGTCCTGAGATACAATTTCATTCCATGGGAGTAAATGTTTACAACACTTATTTTTATAAGGATAGAGGTAAGTTCTCCCTGTACTTGACTAACAGAGCACTACGTCATGAAGACGTGTGGGGGATTGGATGTATATAACAATGTTTTCTTGACCTCAGCACTAGTCGGAGGTGAGTGGTCAGCTTCACGCCCCAGCCGTTTACCTCCGGTACCCACTGGATAGGAGACTGGGTGGGCCCCAGAGCAGGTCTGGACGCTATCCCGGCTCCCCGCTTATTTCAGTAGTCTGAAATTCTAATTTCATTAACTTGTATCCCCAGGTTACAAGCATTTTCAAGAAATGAATTATCGGCCCGCTGGAGTGACTTATCTGGCAGAAACATGCTGCGTACGTTCACAGCACAGCCATATTTCAGCAGACCGAAGTAATCTGGAAAAGTCCTTCAAATGTTTCTAAGGAGTGTCTGAAGGAAACTTCTTGAGACTGGCCGAATACAAGTCTGTACGAATCAAAGTCTGATTGAGGTAATTGAGGGTGCAACTACTACTCGATATTACTTGGTTTTTGGACTTCTTGTTCATCGTCCCGTACTCTGATGAACACTGTTTCCTTTAGAATACAGGACGTTGGGCAAAAGTCCTAAAACCAATAATTCCGAGTGTCATAGACAATCGTCAGAACCCTTTAGAATGTTCATGGATCTACTGATTCTATTCTACTGTCACTTATGTACGTATATGAGTGACTAGAGATGGGGTTTGGGTTGGTAATTAAATTTATTAACCAACTACAGGCCGTAACTACAAATAATTACTACACTATGTAAGATTTGAGGCTTTCACAGCGGTGACTATGAAGAAAGCAGTCTTCTGGGATTTGGCACCGTGTATATGTGGTGTTAACCGACGTTTCGGAGGAACGTATCGCCCCCATCTTCAGGGTTGAAGAAAAAGTATAAGTAAATCTGNGTTATTACACTGTTGCTGATTTACACAATTTAAAATCACTCCACACTAATCTTCTCCGTCTATTCCCGCTGCCATTCTGACTGTCGGATCTACTAATTAAGAGATAATAAACATCCATGTTCTAGCAACGGAAGTGTTAACGAATTCTAGGAAATGATTCTGCCCGCGTTTCAAAACAAGTCTGGTTTATTTTACGTTGTTTGACATACACCACACCGTCAGTGTGACGCACAATAGGCAAAGTCTAGTAGCATTGAGGGCGCCACTAGAGAAATAGCAGAGTCATATCAAGTTCCCATGCCTTTATCATCACGCCCGCCCGTTCCCCCTGCAGATTGGATCTCCTGCGAAACACGTAGCCGCGTGGTTTGCCGCGCAGCAGTTCAGACGAGCGTCGACTGCGGGCAAGTCCACACATAAGGCGCGCAGCCTCTGCAACCCGCTCACTAAAAGTGGAAACGTTTCAAGATCTCGTCACGGAACATAAAGCAAGCCTGTTACAGTGTAACGTAACGGACCGGAAACGTTGGCAGTGAACTCATCATTGTTATCAGTGACTCCTATAAACAGACTGCAAAGTTCAACTGACCACTCCCAATCTTTCGCTGCAACATGCGATTGCAGGTTAGTCTTCCTCGATTATTTGTTCAGGTTATAAATAAGAACCAAATGATAGGCACATTGTCCTGGCTTTACAGTATATCTTAGGAATAATATAACATAAAGCCTTAATTAAATAGGTATCAAATCTGTGTTGTGATACTGCAATGTAAAAGGATATTAGGGTGTGCTACAAAGAGTAAGTTTCAAGGACTGGTAGCATTGCAATTTGCTCAATGTCTCCGCGCTTCTAAAATACTGAGGAATGTAATTACAACCGTCGACCCTCAGGGAATTTGATTTGGTTTAATGATCATTAATGTGGGATTCGTTGATAACGCTGCATTTAGAACGTTTTTCTTCATAAACTAACACGAATTATATTTTTAAATACTATATATCACCAACGCTGTTATATTATGAACAAAACGTAAATTAAGAAAACGACATTGCTTCGTCACAGAAGTCGTTTCTATTCAACTTTTAGACTAAAACTTAAATTGTTTTATTATAAAATATTATATTAAATAAGGGTCTTATCTATCGGTAATGATAATGAGTTAACAATGGGTGGAAATGTGGAAATATCCAAGCAAACGTGGCTATTTCAGAGCTTGCGAAATATATGAAGGCTGGCCATTACACAACCAACTTGCAGACTGTTCTCTTTAAACTGACCGTGTTTTAATTTACAGCAGGAGGTCTCTTTCTCAGAGAAGTATTTTTTTAATTAAATTTACTTCTGTGTGCTGTAAATTAATTAGCGCCGTAACTTCAAAATTAATTTGTACTTTATTTTCGTTTATAACTCACTTTCGTGCCAGAGACTGAATTATTAAAAGATTTTAAGGCGAATTCTTATGCGTTATATAGGGCACGTGTTTTAGAAGTACGTAAATAGGGTTAACAGCTTCATGCAATTCAAGGCAGTTGCACAACACGTCATAAGGAACAGAAACTGGAGTTCCGTTTCATCACATGTCATGAGCTCCCCTCTCCTAAAGTCGAGCACTAATGGTTCATATGAGGTACCCGTTTTCCACTCGCCTAGGATATAAGAAAAATTTCAAGGAATTTCAAAGCCGTTGTCTTCACATATTACATTAACTAGAAAATGGGGTTTATGCTACGCTACTTGCTACGAGCTTCCAGCGTTTTAATTGATATATTAGTCAAACGAGAGTTCCAGTTGGAACCTTCCGGGTTCCGCTGCTTATGTACACAATAAATTGTTCAAATATTTCGCATAGTGGGGGGGGGGGTGAGTCCAGCTGGGTCCACTTGGCATGTCGGCCACATATTGGCCTATTAAACCTGCCCCGGGTGATTATGATAATGGAGAATTTGGTGGAATGAAGATTAGCAGGGGAAACCGAAGTACTAGGAGAAAACCTGTCCCAGTGCCACTTTGTCCACCACAAATCCCACTTGACCAGACCCGGGTAGCCGCGGTGGAAAACAAGCGACTAGCCGCTTGAGCTATGGCGTGGCCTTTCCATGTTCAAATATAGAACTTGTGATTCTGACAGCGGTGCTTATGAAGAATTCTACCTTTTGACATGTAATGCAGTGTAGGTCGTTAAAATCATCTGAAGTTTAGGAGGAACATGAGGCTTCCATCTAAAAGGTAAAATATAAATCAAGCAATAAATCTGCATGAAAGCATGTAGCAAGCAGAAATGAAGGTCATATGCTTCTGCGAAACGTCGGTTGACTTTCAATATACTACACGGCGTTATATCCCAGAAGACAAAAGTTTTCAATTTCAATAAATATTTGTAATTACCAATTCAGACCCGTACCTGCCTCCTTAGAGCTATCCTAAACCTTAACTTTTTAAACTGAGTATTTGTCGTTGGTATGTTCAACTTTAAGTGATACAATTAAATTATTTTCTGAGAAGCAATATTTTCCAGTGACATCTAATAATTTAACTCGATACAATACTTGTATTTTGTCCAGATAGGCCGAAACACGTTGTGACAATAACGGGAAAATAACGAGAAAATATTAACTGACGTTGCATATAGACAGCAAAAAAGAGGAAAGCAAAGTCATATTTTCTCTTATGTTTCTGGGTTTTCCTTTCTTTGTTGGTTTCGTTATTAATTATAATACGGGTTTTGTTTCCTTTGAGGGGGGGTTTACTATTTTGTTTATACTGCACGAAACATATAGGCAGGATTATATATAATTTAGTTTCTCTCTCCAAGAAAGCACGTGGCATGCTTGTTATTAATCTAAAAAAAAAAAAAGTAAAGCTATCCCTGTACCAGGCCGTGAAGGTCCATCGGGTTGTGAGACGTTGAGGGTCCCACATTATCTAGACAGTCGGCTCAAAGATGGCGGTAAGGTTGTCAGCCTTACGCGCCGGCCGCGCTTTACTCCCCAGGAAAATTATTTAATTAATTCCTGGTACTCATTTCTGTTAGAGGCTGAGTAAACCCCAGGGCCATAGTGCGGCTGGAAGGATTAGGTCAACTGGAAAAAAAATACAATTTGAACCCACGACCTTCCGGCTTGTAGCGTAGCTCCTCAACCACTACGCTACCGTGTGCCCAACGGCATGCTTGTTATAAGGGTATAATATTATACAGTAAAATAATAACGGTTTGTACTGGGCAGTGAAATAGACTATAAATTCACTTCGTGAAAAAAATGTGTTACCAAACGTTAAGCATATTATAGATGTAGTTATTAGCCATTCTTGAAAATCTGAAGAGATGTTTGAGTTTCACTACACTCCTACGATCGGGCGTACATTTTCTGACGTTGAATGTTACGAGTTAAATAGGCTTAGGGCATTCTGCCAACATTCAAACATATCATAAGGTATATGTCACGTCAGAAATGCATGAAATATTAAAAAAAAAAAGATCTCTTTCTCTGTAACCAATCCAAATTCGAGTTCAGAGATGAAGACTCAAACGTAAGGACCAAGGATGTGATAATGTGCTACGTGTTCAGGACTAGGGGCGATGGTAGAATGATGATTGGTAGAGGGAAACCGAAAAGACTAGGAGAAAATTTTGCTCGAGTGTCAGTTCGTCCACCTAGAATCTCAAATTAATTCACCCGAAATTCAGCCCAAGACCCAGCGGGGAGAACCCATCGCCTAACAGCCAATCACAAATGTATAATGAAATTCTAATGACTGCATAACAACGAAGTGGAGTCTAACAGAAAATTTCTGAAATATTAACTGGGGAGATAAGTATTTAAATCAATGACTCTGTAGTACACCGTACGAAACATAAATTTATTTCTTCCTGTATCGAAAATCTGAAAAGCAAAACATCCATAAAATAGCAATATTAATTTAAAAAGTGTTGAAGAAAAGTTTAATAAACAATCACACCATGAGTTAAACTACTGATCACCGACCTCAAGACCATGTTTAAGGCTGAAATTTTCTATCTTCTGGAATACAACGCCGTGTAGTCCGTTGAAAGTGGACTAATACTGAATGAAATACACGGCGTTGTATACCAGAAAATAGAATTCTTCATAACCTCTGCTATGGGACCTCAAATCTGTATGTAAACAGGTACAGTTGTGGCCTGTTAGCTCCGCTGTTACCTTCCGGTTCCTGGTAAACAGTGCAAAACTGACTATTTCAAGCAAAACCTGATGAATCCTTTATAAACGTGTCTTTCGACTTTTTAAATAACAACCAAATTGGATATTAAATCTCTTAAACCTTAAACATAAAAGAATCTTCTGTAATTTTCGCTTGTGTTTGCATGAACATTCTTGATTGCGTAACTTGGGAAGGGCAGGCACAGCGTAACAGTTCTGGGACGTTCGCTCACTCGCAGACAAAATGTGTTGGACATTAATTATTTTACCTTACATGACATTTATTCGAAATATTTTCCTGCGCTAAATATTTAACGGCCGGTCACGGTAGACGAGCGGTCTAAGGCATGTACTGTCTTCGCTCGATTGGAAACCGGGATCGTGGGTTCGAATCCCACTCAGGGCATGGATGTTTAGTTTGTGTGTGTGTGCGTTTTTCTGTGTTTGTGTGCAGGTAGAGGCCTTGCGACGAACTGATTACCTGCCCAAGGAGTCCTACCGAATGTGTAAGATCTAGAAAAACCGAAGTGAACGGAGAAGTTCATGGAGGTACGCCTAGGCCCACTGGGGCTGTAGTGCCAAGGAAAAAAATATTTAACGAGTTAATTTCGAGATGCTGTCAGAAACACGAGTAAGCGTCTGTTTAAACTGGTCGTTAAAATTGTCCGAATATAGAAATATCTCAATATCTTTTTCTGTAAACTTCTCAAATATCAAATTCAATCAAATCCGTTTATCCGGTCTCTGGTTACTTCGTGCAGTGCGGACTGGTATATCACAAATGCAGAGTAGAATGAAATTCGAGCATGCTTAACGATCTGGTTATGCTGCTTCTGGGCCAGGATAGTACACATCTGTAACCGGATCCAGACTGCCATTTTCATGTAGTTATTTCTTCTTCACAACGTAGTAATTCCTGTGCACAGACTTATCTGCCGCTAGAGACCTCTCCATATATGAAAACTGTAATGCATCTGCGAGATGTTACGTCACCACTCTGACACGATTTAGCACGGAACACATTAGTTGCAGATAGCAGTAATTCTTCCGGTAAAGATGTCTCTGTGTTTAACTAATTAAACACTGGCCGTGAAAACGTATGGGGAGTGGACGTATAGATCCACGTATTCTTGACCTCGGCACTAGTTGAATTGGAGGTGAGCGGTGAACATAGAGCCACGGACGCTTTACTACCACCCCCCCACCCACCCATTGGCTAAGGTGGCTGAGTGGGCCCCTGAACCGGTATGGGCGTCGTGGTAAGGCAAAAAGTTAAAGTTGTCGATATGCTTAACTAATTAAGCACTACGCCATGAAGGCTTATGAGGGAGTGGCTGTATAGATCCAAATTTTCTTGACCTCGGCACTAGTTAGAGGTGAGTGGTCAACTTCACGCGCCGGCCGCTTTACCTCCGGGAAAAGAGCCCCACGGTACCCATTGGATA